GACTCAATGAAATCCTTGAACATGGTGCTCGTGAACTCCCCGCCATTATCTGAAACAATTTCCTTGACTTTTGAGCCACTGGAATTTTCAATTTGCTTGGTGAAAACCTTCAACGTTGCAAGAGTATCCGATTTTGCCTTCAGGAAGCGAACAAATTTGAATGAAGAGAACTGGTCAACAATCGTGAGAAAGTAATTGAAGCCAGAGATTGAAGCAGGTTTGATTGGTCCAACCAGATCCATATGAATCCGGTCAAGAGGAGAATGAACCTGAGAGAAATGACTGGGAAATGGAGACAGAGTCATTTTTGAACAAATACACACCTCACAAACCGCTGAGTTTGGCGCTTCAGGGAGTCTCATGGTCTTCATGACTGAATTGCTGGGATGACCCAGGCGTTGATGCCAAACATTATGATCGTCGTCGATCTTCTTACTGAAGTAGCTTGAAGGTCGTTTTGTGTAGGTGGAATGGAGGAGGTTATCGATGATTTGACCAGAGAACAATGATCCGGAGCCATCAGTGATGTCGAAGTGATCACCGGTTTTTGTTATGGTGATGGAGTTCTCAATTAAGCGAACCAAGGAAATCAATTGTTGAGAGATCTTCGGTACAAAGAGACAATCTGATAGGACGATTTCTCTGTCCTTGACCATGAGCACGACTGATCCATGTCCTTCAGCAATTAGTGGGGCGGAGGGATTACCGGTGTTGATGATTACTTTGCGTTCCGTCAGAGAGGAGAAAAGCGAACGATCACGGATCATGTGATGGGATGCGGCTGAGTCAACAATAATTGAGTTGTCCGAATGACGATGAACGTAGGTGACGAAAGCTGCTGCATGTGCATAGCTGGCACTAGGATTCTTCTGAGACTTCGGAGAGGTTCGGAGTTCAGGGTACTTTTCGAAGCAACGTTTTTCAGGGTGATTTGCTTCCGGATTATGTTTGCCAAAGCCACAAAGATGAATGATTTTGGTAGGAAATTTTGATTTTGAGGAGGAAGCGATGGAAGTGAATAGAGCGACCGTTTTTTCTTCCTTCTTGAATTTGTGAGTTTGATAGGTCTGCAATTCATTCAGTACGGCATACGGGTCGGAGACAGATCTTCTCGTCGAGGGCAAGCTTGTCAACAATTTGATCCACGATCCTGATTCATCAGCTTCCCAAGAATGAGGTAAGCGATGACC